CTTTTAATCTGACACTCTGGGGGTGTGGCCTGCTGCTCACCTTTTAATCTGACACTCTGGGGTTTTAATAGTGTCCTGCATTTTTATAGTTTTATCCTAGTTTTGGCACTGTTATTAATTTCACTTGAATATCCTCACTGGTTTCACTGCCCTGGTGATTCCCCTGCCTAAGGCCTATGCACGGATTTAATTTGATTGTAGTGCAGCTTCTAACACTGTGCAGACTCATCTGCTTTTGCAAAGACTTTTGCACTTGGGGCAAACAGGGGACTGGTGCACTGAGTAAAGAATTTTTGAACTGACTGATGAATGTAAGCTAAAGTATGATTTCAAGTTATTTAAGTATGCTGATGATACGGCTAAGGTGGGAGTTTTATATAAAAATGCTACTTTCTGGTACAGTGAGCTGGTTTCTAAACTAGAATGTTGGTGTAAATTAAGCTGTTTAGTAATTAATTTTGACAAAAATTGATTTTGAATAATGCAGGAGCATGTAGAAGCCAATAATGTAGTAACTGTCCAATAATGTAATACCTTTTTCTGAAACAAAAATGCAATAACTTATTGCCGATAATGTAATGTCATAACTAGGGCTGTCAAAATTAATGGGTTAACGTGGATTAATCCATCATCATGATTAATCTGATTAAAATTTTTAAAGCAATTAACCCATCTGCAGAGCAGAATGACTCAAAATCCCTGAAATGTCTCTGTCAACCCATTTCGGGCAGTTTTGGTGCGTTCCATTTGCCCTGGGAACTCGTATTCTGAGTTTTGAAGCTGGAAGTGACGGCATGCACGTTCCCATTTCTCAGAGATCTTGGAGCAGCCCAGAGTATCCCCAGTTCACAATCCAAGATGGCTGCTCCTTTTATCAACAGAAGGGAAAGTTATAGTTTTATACTGTTTAAGCACTACTTCTCATTTGTGGCTCATTAAATCGGTCACACACACTATATCGTCCAATTTATCTGTGGACGTGTTGCTACAGAGTTTTATACGTAAAGCACTGCGTGAAATGTGTTATCAAGTGATATTGCTAACAATGGCAATTAACCGGGCTAGAATTGGATTTCATGATTAGTCGGATTATTTGTCGGATTTACAGTAGTTTGGGCTAATTGTAAGTGAACGAAGATAAAGACCATTTAAACTGAGGTACCTTAAATCCGACAAGTTGTTAGGCTAAACAAAAAATCTTGCTTTTTGATATGGGTCCATGTTATTGCACTTCTGTGGCAGATGGAATGCATCTGACTTGTGTTCAAGATGTTCAATAAACATGTTAAGTGCATATATATTCCCTTTTTTCTTGAGTGTTTGCTCATGCAAAATGAAATGCGATTAATATAGATAAAAAATGAATATTTAATCGTGATTAATCTAAATTAATCCACAGCAACCCTGTGATTAATCTGGTAAAAAATTTTAATCGTTTGACTAGTCATAACATTATTGACCATTATTACATTAAGAATAAAGAAATTTGTTGAACATTGCTAGTTATTACATCATTGACTGCTATAGACCACTTTTAACTCTAAACCTTGCTGCTCAGCATGTGGAAGCTATTACAGTTTAAAATATGTTTGGTATTTTATTGATGATAAATTCAGTTTTGCAGAAAATGTAGATTTTATCGATAAGAAGGCCAATCAAAGACTGTCTCTAATCGGGAAATTGAGAGGGTATAGGGTGATACTCACCTCAGTATCCCCAGTTTACAGTATGGAATACCCAGTGATACTGACCTCAGCATCTCTACTTTACAGTGTGGAATACCCAGTAATACTTACTTCAGTATCTCCAGTTTACAGTTAGAATCCCCCAGTCCAGCAGAGAGCAGCTTCACTTCTGGGTCCCTCTGTTCAAACATGCTCAGATGTTCATTATTCAGGCCATTGTCACTCAGGTCCAGCTCTCTTAGGGGTGAGGAGTTTGATCTGAGAACTGAAGCCACCTCACAACATCCCCATGCCATACAGCCGTTCAGCCTGGAAAACAAATCATGTTAAAGCAGAGACATACACACCCTACACATCAGTAACAGGACTGATATACAATATCAAAACAAACATTTGTTTTAAGCAACACAGCTATTTCAAAATGAATCACAGTGTGCAGACTGTACTTTATTATTATTTTTTAAAGTACCCAGTCAGGTACTGTTTTAAAAGTATCATTTTAGCGCCAGAATAAGAAAAACCACAAATGATACCCAGTCCTAGTACTATGACAATATAGATATTGCCTTCGTCCCATTTACACCAACTAAGACCAAGCACACTGAGATACTACACACTGTGGTGATGTTTGTTGATGCAAGATGCAAAGTGCACAAGTGTGAAGAGCCCAAATGTGCAGGGATTTTTTGAAAGCAAAATCGGACAAACTTGATATCTGAAGGGGTGAACAAAAAACACGCTACAGCTGTCGTCATTTGTGTAGCTTGTGTTTGGGGTTCTCCTTCACTGTAACCTAGACTATGTAACCATTCATTATACAACCTCACACACTTACACTAAACTTCCTCGGAAGCATGTTGGACTCTGACTAGCTGGCAGACTTCCTCGAGTTCCACATAAAGTTTAGTCTTCACTGATGCGGTGCATTGTGGTCTATATATTTAGCCAAAGACCACCACCATGCAGTATTTGCCAAAGTGTGTATAAGGTGCACTTTAAGTGAGCTGCGCTTGGCTTATTTGAGGAATGGAACATGCCTGAATAATGGTACTAAGTGCATGAATGCACACACCAAGTGTGATAGTGTTTAAGTGTAGACTAAGTGATGCAAATGAGATGAAGCCGTGTGATTCTATTCTACTCTTTCCTCAGCCGTAGGCCTGCAGTGGGCCCCAGTGAGCAACCAGAGACAGCAATCTTCTGGAAGCTCCCAGCTCTGGGCTCCATCACATGATCACACACTCACAAACCACTTATAAACCCTCCAGATCAGGGTACTCAGTTACATTCCCAGAGGGCCAAATTCCATCAGCAACTCAAAGCCAAAGGGGGGGGGGCGTAAGGGGTCCCCCTCAAAAGATTTCACCAACTGGGGGAGTCTAAGGGAGTGTACCAGTGGGTTCTGGATAAAACTGTGTTTCTCTCTGGATTCAGGCCGTGGTCTATAGCAGGTTACGACACTGTGCCTGTGATCAGAAGGCAGAGTGGATAGGAACGGAAATGTCACTTTTTTTTTTTTTTTACTACATTACTACCTTCAGTCACCATAAAATCTGTGTTCCAGATTATCAAAAAAATCCAACCTGGTTATTAATTAAATGAATAAACTGTATATGTTAAATGTTTCAAACAATGTACATGTAATACTGCCCGATAAGGTGTGTTCTCACATCCCCACATCACTTACAGAGCTGTCTTAGATATCCTGAACACAGGTAGTAGTCTCTCGTAGCGCTGATACCCTCTTTCTTCTGATCTGATGAATTTCTTCAGATCAAACACATCCAGCTCCTTTTCTGACATCAGTAACACAAAGGCCAGAGCTGACCACTGTTCAGGTGAGAGGTCTTCTGCTGACAGATGTCCTGAATTAAGGTATCTTTGTACTTCCTCTACTAGGGAATTGTCACCCAGTTCATTCAGACAGTGGAACAGGTTGATTGTCCTTTCTGTAGATAAATTCTCATTTATTTTCCACTTGATGTATTCAGCCGATGATGGGTCGGCCCTGTATTTTGCGTCAAATTCTGCGAAGGACTTATGGCTTTCAAGATAATCTTTGAACTTCCACGGCCCTGAATAGGACACAGGGGTACAGAAATTGGAGGGATGGATTGATTGGTCTGTTTCCTTAATGTTATGTGAGCTGGTTCTTGTCTGTCCCAGTAGCCGCTGTAACAGATTCTGACTGGAGTCTGTTGAGAGGCCCAGGAGGAAGCGGAGGTAGAGGTCCAAGTGTCCATTCTTGCTCTTTAATGCCTCATTCACTGCAGTCTCCAGCATGTCAGGTGATGAGTTTGATAGAAACACATATAGCGCAGCAAGATACTCCTGGATGCTCAGATGCACAAAGCAGTACACCTTCTCGCGATACAACCCACATTCCTCTTTAAAGACTTCTGTGCACACTCCAGAGTAAACTGAAGCTTCAATGACATCAATGCCATTGTCTGTCAGATCTTGCACATAAAATATTAGATGGCCTTTCTCAAGGTTGTCAAAAGCCAATTTACCAAGTTTTAGAAGGAATTCCTTGTTGAATTCATTAAGCTTGATGTCATTTTTCATATACTTTTCATTTTTTAAACTTGTCTGAAAGATCAGGAAGTGTGTGTACATTTCAGTCAGAGTCCTTGGCATTTCTCCACTGTCAAAAAGCCTCTCAAGGACTGTGGCTGACATCCAGCAGAACACAGGTATGTGACACATGATGAAGAGGCTCCTTGATGTTTTCACTTGTGTGATAATCCCGCTAGCCAGGCTCTGATCACTAAATCTCCTCCTGAAATACTCCTCCTTCTGGGCATCACTGAACCCTCGTATCTCTGTCAACTGGTGGACACACTCAGGAGGAATCTGATTGGCTGCTGCTGGCCGGGAGGTTATCCAGAGGAGAGCGGATGGAAGCAGATTCCCCTTAATGAGGTTAGTCAACAGCACATCCAGTGACATTCTCTTTGTTACATCAAACCAGCTCTCATTGTTCTGAAAATCTAGAGGAAGGCGACACTCATCCAGACCATCAAAGATGAACAAGACTTTGTACTTAAACAGATCAGAAGGTTCAAATGATTTCAGTTCTGGGACAAAGTGGTGAAGCAGTTCAATTAGACTGTATTCATCTTTAATCAAATTCAGGTTCCGGAAAGGAAGAGCAAATATGAAGTGAACATCCTGGTTTGCTTTTCCTTCTGCCCAGTCTAGGATAAATTTCTGCACAGAGACTGTTTTCCCGATACCTGCCACCCCTTTAGTGAGTACAGTTCTGATAGGTTTCTCACGCCCACATAAGGGTTTGAATATATCATTGCACTTGACTGTAGTATCTTCTGTTGGCCTTTTCTTGGATGCTGTTTCAATCTGTCTCACTTCATGTTCATCATTGACTCCTCCAGTCCCACCTTCAGTTATGTAGAGTTCTGTGTAAATCTCATTGAGAAGTGTTGGCTGTCCTTCCTTAGCTTTCCCTTCAAATACACACTCATATTTCTTCTTCAGGTTACATTTGATTCTGTGCTGACATCGTGACAGAAGATGCCCTGAAAAGAAATGAGGTAAATACACAAACTTTAAAAAAGACATGCATTTTTTTTTACCATACAAGCAAACCTAAATGAAATTAAATTGATTTATGATAAAAACATGTATTAAAGTCCAGTTTATCATACACAATTTTTCTGTGGCAAACACACAGAATGATATTAAGCTCTTACTCTTCTCCAGCCTGTCAGCGAGATCATTTTGCTCCATGGTCCTCAGGATGTACAGTGTGATCTTCAGAGCTCCTTCTCTACCACAGGTCTTCTGCATCTGACCATCACTGTCCAGGTCACTGTCCTCCTCCAGCTGAGGCTCAGGGCATTCTGGGTCATTCTGATCTAGGGACCTTCTGAATCTCCTCAGCTCATCCTTCAGAAACATTTGGGCTTTTTCCTCTAGTACCTATAAAAACCATTCACAGTGTAATTAGTATTACTCCCGGCATTATTAATAATAACAATAATAACTGATACTTCAATGATCCCCATGGGGAAATTGTCTTTACACCTCCCCCAACTTGCTCTCTGTAGGTAAGAGAAGGGCAGCCAGTTAAGGGCCCTGCTCAGGGACACTTAGACATGCCAAAGTCAGGCTCGAACCGGCGACCTTCTGATCACAGGCACAGAGGCTTCAGCACTATGTCTATTTATAATTTCACTTGTTAATTTGCAAATATCTTCCATCTGACAGGATGAACTAATTCCCCATCTGTAGATGTCTGCTGATTTAGATAGAATTTAAGAAATTAAAATTCAGCAGTAAATACAGACCTTGAAGACGGATGATAAATCTCCTTCATGTGGATCTGAATTACATCTTTCCACTTGGTCTCTGTGAATAAAACACAAACATCCATCCATTAATCCATCCATCCTCTAACCATTTATTCTTGTCTGGGGGCAGGACGGGGCGGGGTGGGGGGGCTCCATTTCAGACAGCACAAGGCCTAAGATACGGGGTCACCCTGCAGGGGATTCAGGTGGAAATCGATGCAGTAGAGGGAGAGCGTGCAAGCTGCAGACAGACAGGGGACTCCAGCACTGGGGATGAGCAGCGACAGCACTGAGATACACTGGGGACGTGTCGCGACAGCACTGAGATACACTGGGGACGTGCAGCGACAGCACTGACAT